ACTGTATATATATATATATTACCACAAATAATACATCCAGTTCCCAGTTATTTTCAGGGTTAAGGCACTTATTAAAGATATATATATATATATATATATGTTTGAAACAACACACATACATACACACACATACATACACACACACACACACATACACACACATACACACATATACACACACACATACACACATATACACACACATACACACACATACACGCACATACACGCACATACACATACACATACACATACACATACACATACACATACACATACACATACACATACACATACACATACACATACACATACACATACACATACACATACACATACACATACACATACACATACACATACACATACACATACACATACACATACACATACACATACACACACATACATACATACATACACATACATACACACACACACACACACACACACACACATACACACACACATAATACAATCACTTTCTATATAATTATATATTTTTAAATATCATAATACAATAATAATATCAATTAAATTTAAATTTGTTAATAACTAATAATTAAAATCTAATTTTTCTTGTTGTTGTTGTTGTTGACTAACAATCAAATTGTTTTTCATTAAATAATAATAAAAAAACTAGATTTAAATTTATACCGCATATTATCTATCTATTAAAAAAAATATTAGTCTAGTATTATAATACTATAACAATATATTATATTAAGTAATATTTTATTATTATTATTATTCCTTATATATATACTGTATATAATTTAAATATAATATTTCAAAAAAAAGTCATAACATATGATATGATATTAATACTAAATTAATGGCTATTTATTTTGTTTGCTATTTCCTACTCTCTCTCTCTCTCTCTCTCTCTCTCTCTCTCTCTCTCTCTCTCTCTCTCTCTCTAACTTACAGTAATCTTATGGAAAGTTTTATAAATTATAATGAATTGTTAGTCATGTCTGACAAATGAGAGACATGTCTTAAAGGATAAGAGAGAGAGAGAGAGAGAGAGAGAGAGAGAGAGAGAGAGAGAGAGAGAGAGAGAGAGAGAGAGAGAGAGAGAGAGAGGATAATCATCGCATTAATGGTTATTAAAATATTTCATTTTATTATTTTTTTATTATTTTTGCTTAAATCTCTTTTAAATTGAATTTTAAATACACATACAAACAAATCAAAAAAAAAATTTGTATTGAATTGAATGATAAAACCTCGACATAACTTATAATACTATATATACTTATAGTTAACCAGTTTTTTTCAATTTGTATGTAAAAAATTTATTTATTTGATATAAAAAAGGATTAACAGATAGTGAGTGAGTGAGTGAGTGAGTGATAGAGAGARAGAGAGAGAGAGAGAGAGAGAGAGAGAGAGAGAGAGAGAGAGAGAGAGAGATACCATACAGTGATAGTTGTCGTGAATATTAAGATTTTATTTTATTATTTGATATAAAAATCTTATACAAAAAATTTTTATTTAACATAAAACATAAAACATATAAAATAAATGATTGATATTTTATTTATTTATTTGATTATTTTTTATATAAATTATATTTAAATAAAATACAGTATATACTGAAAATTTATTGTTAATCCCTATATATATACCGTATATATACTAAATAAATAAGTTTTAATTATGATATATGATATATACAGTGTGTATATATAGGTATTTTTAAGGATAAAACTTTAAAATATATAATTTTAATTTTATTTTTTTTTTTGTGAAACCATTTATTTTCTACTTATCTTTTATCCATATATTTGTCAGCTTATGGATGTATTTAAAAAAAAAAAATATTTTAAGTGATATTATTATTGAATACTTTTTTTTTAAAAAAACACACCATTTGTTTGCATTTTTTAAAAGTGTGTTTTTTCGAGAGTCTAGTCATTAATTGTGGTATTTATTTATGAGGAGAGWGAGAGAGAGAGAGAGAGAGAGAGAGAGAGAGAGAGAGAGAGAGAGAGAAAATTGTTATTTTTTTTTGTAAAAAGTAAATCAATTTGTCTAACGATTAACTGGTGGTGTGTTTTCAACAATAAAAAAACAATTATATATTAATAATATATTTATTTTTTTTTGTTGACAATATATACGACAAATAGTTTTTCTAAAAATATTAATTTAGACTTAAATGATGTCAAAAAAATAAAAGTTTTTTTTAAATTAGCAAAAAAAAAGAGAAATCCATTAAATAAACAGTAGAGTAGTCGGTAGTCGTTATACTTTATAATATAACTTAAGGTATAAATTAATATATATTTACTGTATATACAGTATGTATATATATAGTGTGTATGAGAGGTCAGGTATGCAAAATGTGTTTCGTATGGTTTGTTTGCATATAATTTATTATGTATTATCCAAACTAAAAAAACTAATACTGTATTGTTCAGTGTATGTATGTATGTGTGTGTATGTGTGTGATTGTGTGTGTATATGTGTGATTGTGTGTGTATGTGTGTATGTATGTGTGTGTATGTGTGTGTATGTGTGTGTATGTGTGTGTATGTGTGTGTATGTGTATGTATGTGTGTGTATGTGTGTGTGTATGTGTGTGTGTATGTGTGTGTATGTGTGTGTGTGTGTGTGTGTGTGTGTGTGTGTGTGTGTGTGTGTGTGTGTGTGTGTGTGTGTGTGTGTATGCTTACAGTGCCTGAGTGCTAATCAGTGTTGAATCATTAAATTAATTATAGTTACGGACACACGCACATAGAGTATACACACACATGCCTACACAAGTACATACATACATACATACTGTAGCTCCTGTATGTTATTATTTTTTCTCAATTAAATACCTAATCAAAAGTGATCCACAGAAAAATAAATCTAATGTTTTTTTAAGAGAGAGATGAGCTCTCACTTGTAGATCAACTCTCTCTCTCTCTCTCTCTCTCACACACACACACACAGAGAGAGAGAGAGAGACTCACTCACTCATCCCTTTCACACACAGTTAGTCAATGACTGATAATTATTAGAGATATATAAGAGAATGAATGAAAGAGAGAGAGAGAGAGAGAGAGAGAGAGAGAGAGAGAGAGAGAGAGAGTACTTATAAAGTCGTGAGTTTGGGTACGTTTACCTTTTGCTCTCTCTCTCTCTCTCTCTCTCTCTCTCTCTCTCGTGACTAGCGATTGAGATTATGATGGGAGAGATGGGTCTAAAAGCATAACCTTTTTTTCAACAGTTAAACCCATTTAGTCTATAATTTTTGTTTTCTCTCATTGGATCTCATGATATATAACAGTATATATATATATATATATTTTTTTTAAAGGAAATATACAGTAATATAACATTTTTTTTTAAATTTAAAATTTTATGAAAGCACACAACAAACTAATTTCATATTATTATTATTATTATTATTATTGCTTATAATTTACCGGTAATATTACAAACATAAGTATTTTTTCAGTTATTTTATTTTATATATATACTGTATTTGTTATATTATTTTTGTTGTTGTATTTATATTATGAACCCAACAAAACACGTTAGAAAAAAAAATTCATTATACAATTCATTAGCACAGGTATGTATGTGTGTGTGTCTATCATTAAAAAAAACTACCTGTCCCCTACCTGGCTATATTTGAGCCATAGATTATAGCAGTATATTATATCATATTTTATTTTTTTGGTGGTAACAATATAAATTGGATTAATAATGATACTAATAATATACTTTATATACATATATATAGTATAAATTAATTACAGTATTATTATTATGAATTAAGTTTTAAATTATTTCATCACTTTTGTTTTGTAGTGAGAAATTATGAGTGGGTGAGTGTGTGTGTGTGTGTGAGTGTGTGTGTGTGTGTGTGTGTGTGTGTGTGTGAGTGAGAGAGAGATTAAAAAAACAATTTTTTTAAAACAAATTTATGACATTTTAATTATCAAAAAAAAAAATTATAATATTTTTTTTTAATATTTTCAATGTATAAACCAAACAAACAAAAATATATATTCAAAATATTTTTCAACAAAATTTATATTTTTTATTTTTTTAAAATAAAAAATTTCTATTAAAAAAGTACACGAAAATATTAATCAATTTTTTTAAATAATAAAAAATATATTTATTTTGATTAAATAAATATTACATTTTTTTTGTTGAATCAAAATTTTGATGATATGATACTAAATAATTATTTTTTTTAATAAAAAAAATATTAATAAATATCATTAAAACTTATTATTTATTTATTTATTTTTTTGCTGTTGAAAGACATTATATTTTATTTTTTTAATACAACAAAAAAATATTTATAAATATTTAATAATAATTTTTGTTTAACTTATTTAAATACTACTGAATATTAAAAAATAAATAAATATTTATATAAAAAAATAATAATAAATTCATTAAAACATAAAATCATTTAAATATCTAATATAAATCATTAAATACTTTAGATATTTTTAACTTTTATTTTTTTCATTATATAATACATGAGTTCATTAAAAAGCTATTGAATTAGAAAAACAAAAATATAAATAAAACAAAATACAAATATTTTTTATTTAAAAAAATGTTTTTATTTATTAGTATAATTATTTATAATGAAAACATTTCATTTAATAATAATAATAAAAATAGATTTATATTTTTTAATTTAAAAAAAACATTTTTTATAATATATTTACTATTATTATTATATACTTTAATAAACAATTTTATTTATAATTCAAACAAACAAACAAAATAAATATTATTATTATTATTTTAGACACTTAACAGAATAATTAAAACATTATATATATATATATATATATATATATATATATATATATATATATATTTAGTATGTTTTTTAATAGATATATCCAATTAAATAGTAATAATAATAATAATTTTATTGTTTTTTAATTATTATTATTATTATTAGTCAATTAATGGGACGACAGGCACACCTCCTTTTTTTATTTTAATGGGTTATTATTATTATTATTATTATTATTATTATTATTATTTAGTTATTTATTTTAGTTATAGATTGTAGTTATTGTTGTATTTTTCTTTGCACATTAAGTGTACTAAATCTCTATTAGTAAAGCGTACAAAAACACTGGAAATAAAAAAAACAATATATATAATAAAATAATAACAATTAATAATATTATTAAAAAAATTAATAATAAATAAGATATAAAAGTAAATGATATAATAATTAATTTTACGGTAAATGTATTTTATTTTTAATTTTTTTTTACTATAAATATATGACATCCCATATATATATATTGTATAAAAAATATATGACTTACAATACTTTTCAATACTAATACTACTAATAATAATATAATAATTACTACTATTACTACTACTACTACTACTACTACTACTACTACTACTACTAATAATAATAATAATAATAATAATAATATTGACCCCTAAACTCATTTGACCCACAAATAAAAATTAACTAAACAGTAGTTAACACTAAAAAAAATCACTAACTTATTAATTAATTAACTAACTAACTAACTAATTAAGTATTAACTAAACAAACAAATTCAACAAAAAAAAAATTTTTTTTAACTAACTATTTAAACAAACCAAACAAATTATATACTGTTTCTAACTAATAATACTAATAATTATCGGGTAATACTAATAATTAATTAATTAATTAATTAATAGGCCATACCTTTTGCCGATACGTTTATGACACACTTGACACAAGTCGACCTCATCGACCACCAGTTTGCTTAGCTGTTCCAATCGGATACGTTGTTTGTGAACCTGGAGACGTTTGGCCAGCAATAGATTGCGAAATATTTGGCCAGAATGTCGGGCCCGCAGCAAGTGATCGGTAGTCAAGTGTAGGAATTCTTCGACAGCTACTACGGGTATGTCGGGCGGTAACAGTTTGATTACCCGCAACGGATCTATTTTGGTCGAGTGTCGGGTCAACAGCTGGATGGCCGACTGGACATTGGCCTCGAGGTTAGTCAGGGCCGGGTTGATGGTAGTGGCCATCACCGTTGAGCCGGTGTCCAAATCTTTACCCGATTGTAGCCGCGGAGGTATCGATAGATACAGATCCAGTAGTGTTAGGAAAACCTATTTAAAAAAAACATATATAACGGGTATTATTATTATTATTAATATACAGTATATATATTGAAGGGCTTATGTAGTCAATACAACACATCAATAATAATTTAAAAAAAAATAAATAAATATTATAATAGTATTTCCTATTTTTTATTAAAAAAAAAAAATTTAAAATAATAATGACATAACATATACCTCCCGCCCAACAAAAAAAATTAAAATGAAAATAAATTACTAATAAAAATAAATAAATACTAATCAGGAAAAACATTGTAATAATAATAATAATAATAATAATAATAATAATAATAAACTGTTTTTTTAGTTGTTGTTGAAAATACTGTAGTAATTAATTACAAAACAAATACAATTTGTTTTTATAATTCAAGTCAAATACCTGAAACCCCCCCCCTCCATCATAGCCTACCTTCCCCTCCCATGGATGGCTATCAATCAATCATGATTTTTTTGGGGTGTATGTGTGTATGCCTACCCCTTACCCCCCGATAAATAGCTGTATATATAAAAATATATAGTAATATAAATATAATCAAAAAACATGTCTCTCGGAAATAATGTATAATTTTTTTGGGGGAAAAAAATTTCAATTTTTTTGATGGTTTTTCTAAATGTTTTTTTTTAAATAATAAATAAATATATTTAAGGAAAAAGCAACTTATAATTTAAGTGCAAACCTTTTTTTCCATCAATATATATATATATATATATATATATTGAATATATATAAAAACATTGAAATATTTTTCCGGTTTGAAACCCCGTAAAAAAATACTACTACTAATAATAATATCAATAAATTTTACATAAACTTTCAATAAAAACAAACAAACAAAAAAGTAATAGTAATATCTATACTAAATAAATAAATAACCAAAATATATATAACTATAAATTAGATATTACTAATAATAATAATAATAATAATAAATATATGTATATATATAATAATAATTTATATATTGTGGAAAATTTTAGATTTTATCTATACATTATATAATTTATGTACTCTCTATAAATTTAATATATATATATATGATACTAATAAATAAAAAATAATATTAAAGATACAGTTAATTATGTAATACAATAAATATATATATATATATATAATTTTTTGGCTGAAATTTACGGTAAATATTAAAATACGGTTTTTGAAAAATAATTTATTAATGAAATATACTGTATATACAGTATATGTGAAATAGTTTTTGAAAAAAAACAGTTTTATTTTCCATACACGCTATACAATAATTTCATAATTTATTTTATAAACTAAAAAAAATTATAATACATATCTATGAGAGAAAACAATAAATAATAATAATAATAATTAAACATTAAAAAAATTTTTGCATACATTTTCACATAACAACAAAAAACATTGAAAACTAGTAAATCACTGTTAAAAAAACTGTACCGGTTCATAATTGTTTATTATTATTATTATTATTATTACTGTATCGTTTTATAGTGTGTGTGTGTGTGTCTATAGTTATATATAAAAAAATACCTGATTTTTTACAGTATTATGTGTGTGTGTGTGTGTGTGTGGGGAAGGGTAGGGTAGGGGAGGCCCTATCTAAATGAATGAAAATAAACATTTTTAAATAGGCTTTAATGTGCCATAAATATTATGTGTGTGCGGTTATGTTGTCGAGGTTTTCCCATAATCTGTTATATAATAGTTGTATTTCCCTTATAAGTGAGTGAGTGTGTGTGTGTGTGTGTGTGTGTGTGAGAGAGAGAGAGAGAGAGAGTTCAGACAACTGTTCACGAAATCATTAAAAAAAAATAAAAAAATAAAATCACTTTATGTATACATATATACTGTATATAATATAAGCATATGTTTGGGAGTATTATATCTATGATATATATAATTGCAATCATATAATATACGGTCAAACAAAAAGTTAAACTAAACTTTAAAAATAAAAGTTTCAAATTCATTGCCAAATAATGAGTGCACACCTCATGAAACTATTAAAAAAATAAAAATAAATAAAAACAAGATTTATGATTGCAATCAATTTGTTTCGCAGTTTATTTTTTTTGTTGGTTATATACTGTATATATTTAACTATAAATATATATATATAAAAACTTATTTCCGCAATACTATACATCAACACAACGTTTAACTTAAATATATATATATATATAAAATAAATTTTTGCCAAAATATATAAATATATAAACATAACTGGATTTTTTAAAATTTAAAATATTTTTTTTCAATGGCATCACAAACATAGAGAGAGAGAGAGAGAGAGAGAGAGAGAGAGAGAGAGAGACTGACTGCACGCACATTACATTAATAGTTATACACTAAATGTAAAAAATAAATAAATAAATAAAATTTACAAAAATATTGTCATAAATTAAAATCAATTTAATAATAATAATAATAATAAATTTTTTGGGGGAAAATAAATAAACACAAAACCAAAACAAATAAAAATAACATTTTGAGAGAAAATATAATAATTTATTGATAAACTAAACAAAATTTTTGTTTTGTTTTAAATAAATTAAATGCAAAATATAAAAAAAAATTACACAAAACTTTTTTTTGTGAGTGAGTTAAGTGATTGAATGAATTAATGAATGAAAGAGAAAGAGAAAGAAAGAGAGAGAGAGAGAGAGAGAGAGAGAGAGAGAGAGAGAGAGAGAGAGAGTAAATGAGAGTTTAATATAAAAGTGCAAAACTTTATTCAACAAAATTATCATTTGTTTTAATACTTTATTTATGCAAATTATATGCCTCTAAACAGTGTATATATAAATATAATTTAACTTTAATGACATTCAGAGATAAATCGATGAATGAAGTAATTTGATTATAATTATTGAACAATTTTTTTTGACTAAAATAAAATGTTAAGTATTTTGTATATACAGTATACGGTATAGTATATACTTATTAGTGAAAAACAGTGATAATTTTTGTTGTTGTTGTTTATCCATATTATTATCAAATAAACTAAAAATAAAATAAACACTTTTACTGTATATATATATATATATATATAACTAACTAAATACAGTGTATATCGAAAACATCACTAATTATATGTAGAAAAATAATTTAATAATAACTTTATATATATACACTTTGTATATAAATAAAAAAATATTAAAATTTTTTTAATTACTTAATTAACTATTCAATAATTAAGTAATTTTTTAAAGTTTTTAATTTTAACATTTAATTATATGATAATCATAGGTATTGGGAAAAAAGGATGGGAAAAAAATAATTAAATAATTATCAATTGAATTGAAAATTTTTTAGTAATTTTTTTTATAGAGAGAGAGAAAGAGAGAGATAATAACTAATAAAAAGTTAAACAAAAAAAAAACATTAATAAATATAAATAACCAAAAAAATTGCTTACATTTTTATTTTCAGGCAAACCCTTGTCGTACTGGCGCTGACAGTACTGTTCCGCTCGGCGGGTGTCGTGCAGGACATGTACATAAATAACCAGCGCTTCCTTATGGTTGCCTATTTTGCCCATAACTACTGCCCGTTCCTCAAACAGGCCATCATTTAGCAAATACGTTGGCAATGTTTCCGTTGAATAATGATCGCTATCTTCAAGAAATTTCAATAGTTTACGCCGGAGTTCGCCCAACTCTCCCGGTTCTTCACCGGCGCCTACCATAGCTGCCGGTGTTGTTGAGGATATGGATGTACCGTCCGATGTCGATTCCATGGACTGCTTATCCATTAAATTATTTTTATAATCAGCTAACAATATGCGTACCCGTTCCCTATATTTGTGTATCAATGCATTATGAAACCCAGGGGTAGTATCCATCCACTGGAATATCAAATGTTCTAAATAGGGTACGAGTAGGTTGTCGTCGACTTTTTGCAAATATTGGACAACCTCTTGACGGGGCAGTAGTTCCATATCGACTACGGCATCGTCGGTAAATATTTTGATACCTTCCTCCGGGTATTGTTTGAGTACCCATTCGGAGTATTCGAATATCAGATCCAAATGTTCGGCCGTCAAATGTTGAAGATATTGAACGGTACGCTTGAAGCCGGCCAGCGGTGAGTCGGGTTTTTTCGATTGTTTAAACAGTAGATCCAATGCATTCCGATGAAGACCTTTGTTCTGGTAGAGTATAATCAGTTCGTTATATTTGTGATAACGTTTCAGCGCTTTTTCTACTTCCTCCAGATGACAATGATTGTCGGGTAGGCGTAGCAATGGTGCTACCAGTGCTTCGTTAGTCTGTAGATAACATTTCAATAGTGTTGTATCGATTATACTTTTCAACTGATATTTGGCTTTTAGCGATGGACTACCAGTGGTTTCACTACTACTACTACTAGTGTTGGTATTATCGTCGCCGACGCCGACAACAACAGTATTATAGTGGACACCGCTATTGGAATTGTTGGCCAAATTTCTGCGGACTTCCAATAGATAATCGATTAGACAGAACAAACCAGTTTCGAGATCAGTGCCCAACAGCTGAGGCGGTTTCGATGGATAATCCAATTTATTTCGATAGTCTTCGGGTAGCAAATCGGGAAACAGACCGATAACTTGTGGCGGATCTGTTTCCAACTTCAGGAACAAACTGAGTGCTTCTTTGAACTGTTTTTTACAAAACAAATCGAATGCATGCATATTCTTGATCCGTTGCATCATCTGTTCCTTATTGTTGACCGCCGATGACGGCGCCAATTGATTACTACCACTACCATTGTTGCTATCGGTCCACATATCGGCCACTTGTAGGGCCAGTTCAAAGTGATGTTCGCCCATCAGCTGAATAATTTGCTGTTCATGGGATGACTGGACCAAACAGAGTACATCCGAACCTGAGGCCAACAGTATATGACCCGATCGGTGAATACATTTGACCAACAATTTGATTCGGGATGATATTTTCCCCGATAGATCCATACGTTGTATCTGTAGTTTCGGTTCGATGGTTAACAGTTCGACAATATTGTTGGGCAGTATAGCCACCAGATACGGCTGATCGTTGACTAAACAGATAGGACTGTCCGACCACTGTAGGGGATAGTTAAGTATTGGCGAACCTTCCGAATTCATTATATAAGTTTTCTGGTCTCTGCCTAACGCTAAGCGATTGTTGTCCAACAATATTACTGATGGTTCAGGTTTTTCACCGGTCGGAAACAGTTCCTTATGTTCACCGTTGGATATCTTAATCAAACTATACTCGGATCGAAACCCGACACAAAGGGACTGACCGCCGGACCAGGCAATCGATTTGGGTATATCGGGAACCTTGAGATCGGCTGACAACTCGTGAAACTCTTGATTCTTCCAGTAGTATAGTTGCAAATGATATCTATTAACCGAACACATCCTGAGTGTACACTGGTTTTCGCCGGTTAGCGTACGCTGTCGTTGGACATCCAGTACAAACAGTGACGATCCTTTCGATTTGCTGACACAAGTCATCAACGGGAATGTCATCTGATCCAAGTTATGTACACTAATTACTGTATCCGATAGGCTGACCAGTATTCGTAGATCGGGTACGGCCTCGATTTGGACAATCGGTTTCTTAGCGAAAGCCTTGTTCGACCGTAACAAATGGATTTCCGGTTTGATCTCTTTGTTTTACAAACAAAACAAAATTACAAATTAGTTAATTGATCCCAAAAAAAAAATATCTTTCATTCAATCATTTCATTGATGATTGCTATGACTAACTAACCATTCAATGAGTTTCGCCGGATCTCAAACTTATACATCAATAGGTGTCCCTGTTTTGTACCGACAATAATATAGTCATCTATTTTTGTTGTTGAAGTAATGGTAGTCATCGTCATCGACATCATCCAGAGTGACAGTTAGATATTAATATAGAAATAGTTATATAAAGACCATCAGTATTATCATCCATCAGATGATTATTATAGACATACCGTAGGCACAGATACTTTCAATAGTAAGCGGCAGGTTCTTCATGATAGTCACATCCTTGTAGATGTCCAACATATTGTCGTCCAGTCAGTCAGTCAGTCAGTCAGATCCGCGGATCCGATTGAATGTATATATAATGTCTTAATATTTAGAGACCAACCAACCAAACAAACCGACGCGTCGGTGGTGTGCGGGAGGGGGGCGTCGGCGCCGGTAATGACGATGATATCTGAAACTTTTGATACTTATAATGTCTTCAGGTGTGTGTGTGGATGTGTTGGCCAGTGATGGCAATCAATCAATCAATAGATAGTGTCTTCAATAGTAAATCCATTCAATTGATTGTCGCAATCATTGAGTTGCTATCAAACAAACTGTTTGACTGTTTGTTTGTAAACATTGCATAAAATAAATAATAAAAAAAACTCCTATTAATTAATACATTCCCAAAACAATACTACTATTTACTATTATCGTAAATTTAGTACTTTTTCATCTATGTATCCAATATATCCCAATTGTATTGTAAAACACTGTTAAAATTTCTAAATTATTATATGGTAATATAAAGTACCAAACATGTCTATTAGAAATTGTACTGTAGTTACACTGTTTTTATTTTAATATTACAGTATTATTGCTTTATGCATGCATTCTATTGGCTGCTATGACAACAACAATCACAAACAATAACAACATTACAAATGTTTTGTTTATTATTAATGTTTTATTTTTTTAAAAATAATTACCGATTAATTGATTGATTGGCCACTGTATGCGGTCACTGACCAAACCGACAGTGTGTCCATTGATTTATAAATAATTAATTTCAAGACATTTGCAAAAAATGCATTATTTATGGCAAATATATTGCTATTGTCCGCGCGTTAGCGCACAACACGTGTTGTCCCGATGCGTGACAACGATCCCGATCGCTGGCCATTACCGCGGCGGACAATTGATGACCGTCGCTGGACAACAGTGGCGACTATTGGCCACATCGAATAATCCCCGAAAAGATGTGGTGGTCGACCCGCAAGTCAAGAAAATTAAGTCACATCTGATGATGAAAGCGACCAAATCGGCCGGCAATAGTCAAGACCCGGACGCGGCCACAGCTGCCGCCGATGGCCAACAACAACAACAACTCAAAGCAACCCTATTGTATAGCAACGAACGTAGCCGACACTATCGGCTATTGTTTTGCCTGAATATATTGCAATACGCTTTCTGGCTATATCTGGCCAATCAAGGACTCGTACTAATTGTTAAGCAACCGAAAACCAAATCGGCCGACGATTTCCAACAGGAACTCATGACTACCGGTACCGCCGGCCCGGACAGTGACCTCAACGAACGATTATTCGGTAAATGGCGTCTACTGTGGCGCGAAAACTCCACACAACTATCCGTATCCATGGGATTGTTTGCCGTCAGTCAACTGTTTGCTGCCGTACTCGTACTCTACGCTATGCGATCGGTACGCTATGTTATACTGGCACCGGGCGGCCAGTATGTCCGATTTACAACGTTTTCGGTAACCGGTGCCCAGAACAGGTATCGCCACTACGATGTTCCCGTTGGCGATATATCGACACAACAAACCCGCGACGTCGTGGCCAACAATATAATACCCGTGAAATTGAAGGGCCGTTTCGCTTATTTTCTAATCGATACGAAAAAAGGACGGTTTCATAGACCGCAACTGTTTGACCAAATTGTCGGTGTTTTTCGTATACTTAAGTAATTATTATTATTATTTTTTTTTTAGTAATTAGTGTTATTTTATATCAACAAAAAATAAATTAAATAATAAATTAAATAATTATAATAATTATAACAATAATTATCGTTAATTAATAAAAAAAATACTATAGATTTAAATCTAAATATTATTTATCAATTGTAATATCTATTGATATCTATATATATATATATTGTTGAATTAATTTTAAATTTAATATAATAACAAAAAATTAATATCAAATAAAGTTTTTTTATTGGTTTAAAACAAAAATTTTTAGTTAAAAAATTTATTATTATTTTCAGTGAAATTTCTAATAGTAATATCATATTTAGTGTGTTTATTGGAAATTTTTTTTCAAAACAATTAATTTGAACTCCACCCCCACCCCTGCTAAGTTTTTTACCCACTCACCCACCCCATCAACTATACTCCCCCTTTTCGACAATAAAATTTAGATAACCTTGCTTAACCCTGAACCTTTTTTTTAAAAAAAAATAAATTATTTTTTACAATACATAAGTGGCGCTACCAATGATTGGCAAAACAAAATATACATCAATTGATATACTATTGTATTTGTATTGTAGAGTTCAAGTAACAGTTAAAAGGGGGAAGTGAGGGAAGTTTCCCTTATGAAAATTCCTTCCCAATTTTTTTTCGCCCGGGAAATAAACATCAAGAAAAAAATAAATAATTTTATTTATTTTTTTCATGATATGTATAATGGATGGGGGGGGGGGAATATGCCTGGAACTTTATATGCCTGGAAATAAAACCATAATAGGAGGGAATTTATTTATTCAGTAAATGTGTCAGTAAATTGTATTACTTTAAAAAAAATTAAAATAATAATAAATTTATATAACAAACAAATACACTGTGTGTATGTATGGGGGAATATTTTCTGAAACTTTATGTCTGGGAATAAAACATGAATTGGAGGGAATTTATTTACTCAGTAGATGTGTCAGTAAATTATATTACTTTTTTATTAAAAAAAAAATAATAAATAATAAATTTATATAACAAACAAACACACTGTTAGGTTTAGTGTGTGGGGAATATGCCCTGGGAATAAAACCCTAAATAGGAGGGAATTTATTTACTCAGTAAATGTGTCAGTAAATTGTATTACTTTTAAAAAATAAATTTATATAACAAACAAACACACTGTTAGTGTTAGTGTGTGTGTAACCAATAGTTATTTATTTGGTAACCAATGGCAACTAATGTCGGATATATATATACTGTATATATAATATATTTTTTGTGTTTATATATTGAATATATGTATTAATCTATTCACTAATTGTTTGTATGTTTTTGTTTTGTGTATTAATGTTATTATAATATATAATATAATATATATTATATTAATAGTAATAATAACAGTCCTATTGGTGTGGAAACCATACAATCATATCAACAAATAATTGTTATATAAATTGTTTGCCATTTATTTGTTAGTGGTTTGAGAGGACAGTCGTGTTGTTGTGTATGAAATCTCATTGCCGCCGATGATATACAATGGCCGTCACATCGACCGATAGCGACCGTGAGTTTACTACCGACGACGATGAGGACGACGGCGACAACGATTCGTTGACCGATAGCGGCGCCGACGGCTGTGGCGGCGGAGGAGGTAGTGGTGCGGACAACGACTCGTTGGGCGGCAGCGGTGGCGACGATGAGGACTACGGCGGCGGCGACGACGATAACGACCTGACAAACTTGACATGGCTTCAGGACAATAATCTATTGCAGAATATACAGGTCGTGGCCAGTGGTGGTGGTGGCGGCCGATTACAAAACGGCAGCGGCGGCGGCGACCTTGAAGATAACGAGAACGTATCGCCGCCGCCACCGCCAACACTGGACGACGGCAGCGGTGATGGTGGTGGCCATCATCATCATCAGCAACAACAACAGCATAGCCATCGAAACAATAACATTACAAGTGTACCGCCGGTTACCTATAATCCCCAATTGCACCGCAACGCCAAACCTCCCTATTCGTTCAGTTCGCTAATATTTATGGCCATCGAGTCGTCGGCCAACAAAGCCCTGCCCGTCAAAGATATCTACCAATGGATTGTCGATCATTATCCGTACTATCAGACGGCATCATCCGGTTAGTAGTAGTGTTTGACCGCTTGGCTGGCTATCCACCCGTCCTCTAACTATTACTACCACCACTACTACTACTACCTAACCTCTAAATACTAACTAACCTTTAATTACTACCTAACCTCTAACTACTTCCTAACCTCTAACTACTACTACCTAACCTCTAACTACTACTACCTAACCTCTAACCGCCAATTTTCTAACCACTAGTAGTTTTCTGGACTTTTTTTTCCAATGTTTTATCTAATAGTTATAATTAATTTGGATATAATTTGTTTTTGTTTGTTATATAATGTTTTATATAATAATAATAATAATAATAATTTTTTTATTGTATTTATTAATTTATTTTTTTGTTTTGTTTTGTTTGTCTAATTGGTTGGCACCGTTAGGTTGGAAGAATACCGTACGACATAATCTAAGTCTTAACAAATGTTTTCGCAAACTCGACAAAGTCAGCGATGATTTAATACCGGTGCGTATCTATAGTATATATATGACTGTCCTCTACGATTCCCGAGTGTGTGTGTGTGTGTATGTCTATGTGTTTGTTGATTACAATTTATATGTGTGTCACTATGATTACGGTTAATTTGTTATCCCTTCCCCCCCTCACCTACCAACCTACCCCCTGGTGTATATTGTGTGTATGTATATACATATGGTTGCTAAGCTGTATGTGTGTGTGTATGTATATAAATACGGTGGTGTATTGCACCGTACGGTCAAGTTTGGTGACAACTCTCTCTCTCTCTCTCTCTCTCTCTCTCTCTCTCTTGAAAAATTTAAATAATATACAGTAGCTATAGAAACTTGTTTATGTTTTTTATTTAAAAAAAAACTATAACTAAATTAACGGTATATTAAAATACCTACCAGAGCTTAACTACTACTACTGTATGCATTATATTGCAAACTGTCAGCTGTCAGCTCTCTCTCTCTCTCTCTCTCTCTCTCTCTCTCTCTCTCTCTCTCTCTCTCTCTCTCTCTCTCTCTCTCTCTCTCTAATAGTTTCTATATATATATATATATAAATTTTTAACAAAAAAGTTTTACTAAATTATATTAAAAGCTCAAACATTATCATAGAGAGAGAGTCGGAAAATCTTTTTTTTTTGTGTTTTCATTCAATGATTTTATTAACTTTTTTGTTGGTTTTAATATTATTATATCCCATCCCTGTGTCACCACTACCTACCGGGTGCTAAACAACTTGTTTTTTTTAATTAATTATACATTTTCTATTTATATTTTACCTAAATTATAGATTATAGGAAAAGGTAGTCTCTGGTGTGTGGATCCCGATCTACGGCCTACACTGTTGCAGGCGGTCAGGCGTACGCCGGCCCATATCTATCCGTATATGTCGCTGGCAAAGACAGCCACCGGTACTTGTGTTGCCGGTAATACTATGGTATCGGCGCCCCGAATACAACTGTCCACTAATAACTCTTCCTCTCAGTAAGTGTTTAGTTTGTTTGTTTGAGATATCAATTAAACCCAATTACCGATTAATTACTTTATATTACCATAGGATCAATAAGAAGTTATCGCCGCCTGAACGCCACGTCCAGCAACAGCAGCAGCAATCGGTGGTCAATATATCGTCGGCTATTAATAATAATAATAATTTGTTACCATTTTTGTCCAAACGATTATTGATACCAATGAAAATCATTAAGAAAGGTATGTATTATATATATATATATATATATCTATATTGTATATTAAGATTATATATTTTTTTGTTGATTTATTTAATTATTATTATTATTATTATTTTATCAGAAAATATCTCAGAAGCTGATGCAGCCGTATCTATGCTGACCTTACAGTGCAATGTCGCCAACAATATCAACACAAACAATATCAATGTTACTCAAGAATCAAAGTAATTATTATTAGATTATTATTAATTAAAAATAATATGATTTTAATTGATTACTTACTACCTGTCCATCCATCCATCCAATCCCTATATAGTTGTGAGACAATACTACCCGATGCCTATGTTGACGACATCGATGCACCAGTAGTTACTGTAACAGTTAGTCCAAGCAATGATCATAATTACTATCAAAAAAATAGCATCACAAGCACCGGTAGTACAACATTATCGGCAGCAGCAGCAGCACTAGAACCGGGAGAGATACTGCCCGATCAGGTATACCATATAATACAAGTAAATAGTGATAGCAACCATACAACACTACCTACATCTACAACAACAACAACAATACAGCCAAAGATTATCAATACTAGTAGTAGTAGTAGTAGTAGTAGTAATACTAATAATAATAAAAATAAGAGAAAATCTACAAGAATTGTGTCAACAAAGAGGTTGTCGTCGTCGTCGTCGACGACGACAACTTCGAAGACAATCCAAGAGGACATTAACGATGAAGATTCAGCCGATGAAGGTATGAGAGGAGCGGAAGCCCTATTGAACTTAGCGTCGAGTAATAAACAACTACAACAACAACAACAACACGAGAGACCATTGATATTGAAAAAGTGTAAAAAAGATTAGAGATCTTCAACTACTTGTTCACTAAAAAAAAAGAAAAGTTTTTTTTTATATATAATTATTATTGATTTTATTGAAAAATAATATATTAATTATTATTATTACTATAAAAAATATACAAAAGTTTTTTTTTCTGGGTATATATATTATGTATAGAAACTATATTATAAATAGTTATATATATATATATATGGATTGATTGACTGACACTCATATATATATATGTTATCTCAATATACTGTGTATAATATATGAGAGATAGAGAGTCGGAGTATTGATTTTTTGTTTGAAATTTTGTTTTTTAATTAGTTTTTTTTAAAATTTAATTTTTTTTATTGATATGAAAAATATGGATTTTTTTTGCTGATGATGATAAAAAAAATGCTGATTTGTTATATATAGATACTAAAAATTTATAGATAATTATTATTATTATTATTAACTATTTGTTTTTTTTATTGAAAAGTTATACAAATATATTGATATATATATATATAAAGTAAGGATCGGGAGTCCAATGGATTAGACCTATTGATAATAACTATTGATAACTACTCTTAATATTATTAACGTTAATATCCATATATATATATGAGAAAAAAATACAGCAATAATTTGCATAAATAACTCATACATAGTAACACTCATTGATAGTTATATATATATTTAAAAAAAAAATTACAGTACAATACAATTGATGATTACATAGCAAAACACACATAATTTACTACTCATTGAATTTTAATTGATTTTTTTTATTATTACGAAAAAAAAATATTTAATATATATATATAATAAATATTTTATGCATAGAGTAGTTATTATTGACATTATTATTATTATTACTATTGAAAAAAATCTTAACAAACAAACAAACAAACAAAAAATTTAGATAACAATTATTAATAATTATTATTGTTATTATTATTATTAAATATATTATTATCATCATTATTGGGAGATAAAAACTATGCAAACATCATAACAATAATAATAATTATTAATAATAATAATAGAAAATAAAATATATATTTATATAGTTATATATATAAATTAATAGATAGATATATATACTAAATAAACAATTGTGAAAATCAATTGTTTGTTTCTATAATAATAATAATAAAAAAAAGTATAAATGTTTTATTAATATATTAATTAATTAATTAATTAAATTTTTTAAATTGTGAATCTCATTTGTATGTGTTTTTTAAAGTTATTGTTTTTATATTTAAAAAAAAAAACACAAACACCTCATAATATACTACTCTAAAACAAAAAACATGACATAACTTTTTTTTTTAAAAAAATTGTTGTTTGTGTCAGTCCTACCCTAACCTCCCGTTCCACTCAAATATAAAAATAATAATTATATATATTTTTTATTATTATAATTAATTAATTAATTAAATTTTTTTTGTCTCTAAATCATTTTAAAATGTTTTTATTATTATTATTATTATTATTAATGTTTGTTGTGCCAATTTAAAATAAAAATAACTATTAGACAGTTAACAAAAATAATTGTATTTTAACAAAAAAAAATATAATATTATTATTAATAATAATAATAATTGAAATATTTGTTAATTTAAAAACACATATTTATATATTAAAATTAAAATTGTTTATTGATTGATTTAAATATTAAAAAAATTATTATATGTTTATTATTATATTATATAATAGTTAGAGAGAGAGAGAGAGAGAGAGAGATCGTAAATAACTAAATAATTTTTTAAAAAAATTATTAATTAATTATTTAAAGAAAAAAGTAAATAGTTTTTTTTATTATTATTATTATTATTATATAATTATATAATTATAAATGTGTTTTTTAATGCATAATTTTTTTAATGATATAAAATTATTTAGTAATACTATTAATTAATTGTCACCAAAAAAAAATCTGATGACGACATGTTTTTTTTATTAATTGTATTGATTATATAAATAAAATAATAAAATTTGATAATTAATAATATACAATAATTGTTAATTTAATTAAATAAAATAATTATTTTGTTTTTTTTGTAGTTTTAATAAACAGGTATTTAAGTAATTGTGGAAATAAAAAAATAATTTTTTCTAATTAAAAAAAATTTAATAAAATGTATTTATTATTTATTAATATTAATGGAAAGTTTAAAAAAAAATAATTTTTCCATTATATAATGTAAAATAATATTACATAATATTAAATAATATTACTTAATATTACCTAATATTACTTAATATTACCTAATATTACTTAATATTACCTAATATTACTTAATATTACCCAATATTTTTTATTTTTTATTTTTAATAAATTAATATTTAGTCTATTATTTCCAATTTTTTTATTGATTTAATTTAGTTATAATTTTTTTATAATAAATTTTCCATTATATAATGTATTATAATATTACTCAATAGTATATAATATTATCTAATATTATCCAATATTACCCAATATTACCAAAAAATTATATAATATCTAATATTACATAATATTATATATTGTTTGTTTATTTTGTAATAAATTAATCATTAATCATATTTTTCAAATTTTTTATTTATTATTATTTTAAAAATGGATCCAGGGTAATTTTTTTTTGTAATTAGTAGGAACTACATAATAGTAACATTATTTATTTATTTTTTTTAATAAACTACTATATAAATTAAACATTATAGAATTTGTATTAATTTAGTAATAATAATAATAATAATATAAAAATTTATATAAATTATTATTACTAATATTATTAGTTTATATCACAGTTAATATAATTATTTTTTATCAATTATATAATACTATAAATAATATTAAGTTTTTTTTAAATACAATACTATTATAACAAATAATAATAATAATAATAATATTCTGTATATTCTTTATCATCACTAATAAAGTATATATTATATACAAATCTATAGATAGGTATAAAAAAATTTTAAATATATAATTTATACGTATAAGTAGTGTTAATAACTATTAATAAATTTATACTGTATATAAAACAAATTATACATAACATATTAAATATTAATATATATATATACTTTTAATAACAACATTTTTTAAATATATATATATACAGTTATTATAACATATAACTGTATATAAATATATATATTATATAACGGATGACTGTATATATATATATATATATATATTTAAGTTTTCAAATATATAATAATAATAATAATTAAATAAAAAATAATACTAGTTATAATAAATAAATAAAAATTTCATATCAAAATCAAATCAAATTGATATTCAATTAATTTTTTTTATTAAAATTTGTTTTTTCTTCAATTAAATCTCTGTGTCCTCATTGTTACTGTTTGAATGGCTGCTCATAATATAACTGGGATTTTCGCARCAACTGTATGTCTGCATAGCTCCTCCACCTCCACCTCCACCTCCACATCCGGTTACCGAAACACAACTGTCCGATGGACACAACGGTACAGCCGAAGCACAGTTACTACCACCGCCGGCTGCTATTAGGGTACAGGTGCTACACTTTGACGACGACTGTATCGGTGTTTTAGCTGCCGTTGTCGTTGTTGTAGTTGTTGTCCAACGCATCAGATTTGTATCGTAATCGACAACCGATTTATTACTGCTGTCGACACCACCGACACCACTGCAACCACCCGATGATGAACTGTCGGCCGATCGTGATATACAAACGGAACACATGGCCGGCAATCGGCGACTRCTGTTGGTTTGCCGTTGATTTTCATGGGCACAGCACCTGCACCTCCTGTTGTTGTTGTTGTTGTGTTGGCTGCTAGTAGTACTGGTAGGACAGCCCGTCGATGATGAGGTAGTGTTTTTTGTTGTCGTTTTTGACGTATCTTTTTCACGTAAAACACGGGCCAGTATTTCCTTTTGCTCGACCGATGGCAACCTATTGAGTTTGGTCTGGTGTTTGCGGGTCGGATAGGGCGACGAATAGCTAGTGGTGCTCCGGTTCATCTGACTGCTGGTGCTTTCGTCGTCATCGTTGTCCTCCGAGGACATGAACTCCTAAAATTAAAGAGACAACCAAAAATAAAAAATTAACAGACAGTCAGACAGACAGACAGTTTGAAGTGTCAATCGACTACTTTCGTTGTCTGACATCGATGTTTGACATKTGTTTGCATACTAACAGTGTGTAAGTGTCAGCAAAAAAAAATAAAATCTCAAATTTTGTCAAATAGTTTCTTTAAAATTTAGTTTTTATTTGTTTTTTTTTAGTTTAGTTTGTTTGCATACCTTTCCTCTCCCTCYCTCTCTCCCTCTCTCTCTCTCTCTCTCTCTCTCTCTCTCTCTCTCTCTCTCTCTCTCTCTCTSTCTCTCTCTCACAGACACACACACACACACACACACACATATATATATATATAAAAGGTTGATCTGAACCTAACTTTCCTTTAGATAAAAATCTTATGCAATACTTATGCAAATCGATAGCCAAATAGACAGTTAAATAGGATTTTTTTCACACACCTTATAATAAACTCACTCTCTCTCTCTCTCTCTCTCTCTCTCTCTCTCTCTCTCTCTCTCTCTCTCTGCACAGAAAATGTCTTGAAAAAAAAATTAATTAAAATCTCTCCCAACACACACACACATAAAAAAAATCAATGTATGATCTACTTTGTATATATATATATAAAGTAAATTTATATATAAAAGTATATATACTGTTCAAAAATAAAAGTATATAAACTTTACATATATAAAACTAAATTTACTATTTTAAGTAAACATAAAACAAATACAGTAGAACAGTAAATGCAAAAATAATTTTTTTTTTAAAAACATTTTAAACACTATAAAAGCAATCCAATAATGACTATGAAATAATATGAGTTTTTTATTGTTTTTTTTGAATAGAGATTTTTTGGTTGTTTTTTAATTAAATGTTTGAAAATTTGTTGGCAAACAAAAATGTAATTTAATAATTTTTTTGATGTTTTAAAAAAAATTTAATCTTTATATGAAAATAGTATATATATATACTGAATATAATTGAGTGGGTGAGTGAGTAAGTTAGATAAAAAGCATATTCATGGTATTTATATATACTGTATATGCGATTAGATGAGAAAAATTAGTTTATATTTATACCGTATATATATATAATACTGTATATAACATCAGTAAAGATCCTATAATTATAATATCAATAATCAATACTTTACTGTTATTTTGTTTTGTTGGGCAATGATTTAATAGCTAAATACAGTAGTACTAGTAGTTATACAGTATATAAGGGATCGGGAAGAAAGTTAAGTGAAGTTTTGAAAAGGAAATGATAATACAGAGAGAGAGAGAGAGAGAGAGAGAGAGAGAGAGAGAGAGAAAGAGAGAAAGAAAGAGAGAGAGAGAGAGAGAGAGAGAGAGAGAGAGAGAGARAGAGAGAGAAAGAGAGAGAAAGAGAGAGAAAGAGAGAGAAAGAGAGAGAAAGAGAGAGAAGAGAGAGAGAAGAGAAAGAGAGAGAAAGAGAGAGAAAGAGAGAGAAAGAGAGAGAAAGAGAGAGAAAGAGAGAATAACCATAGAGGAAGAGATAGCGGGTAAGTGATTGATTGGACAGTTAGTGTGGGTGAGAGAGAGAGAGAGAGAGAGATAGTGGGTGAGAGAGAGGGGGAACATCAATCGATACCTACCAATGAATGCTTTCTTCGTTGTTGTAGTTGTTGTTTCTGTTTTTTCTTTTGTTTTTTCTTCTTACCATTGCTTGGATCAGTTAAATTGCCATTATTTTTATAATGATTACCACCACTACCGCCACCACTACTACTACTTTTCTTGATCCGGACAATCTCGTGGGTCGAGTCGTTTGAATGGCTATTGTTTGTTATGGATCGACAACCACTACTACCGCCGCCGCCACAGCCGCCGCCGGACAGCTCCGGATAGACAATACTTTGGACACTTCTGGACGATAGGTCATCGACAACAACACCACCGCAGCCGGTTGTAGGCAGTTGTGGACAACAAAAGTGATGTCTGTGTCCTTTACTGCATACATACTTGAAATGGTGTTTCGGGTGATGATGACTGTGCTGATGGTTATGATGATGATGATGATGGCAACCATCACACGACATCTGACTCAATATTGAAGCTGTTAGGGCTGTCCGAGTCAATAGATAGATAGATAGGAGGAGGAGAGGGGGTGGTATAAAATAACCGTAATCAATGGTCAGCGCTTACTTACCCGCGTTATTACTGCGGACAGTATGTACCCGAATCTGGCCGGCGCCGCCGCCGCCGCCATGCGATGAAGCATTTTTGTATTTCATGGCCCGTTTTGTACAGAAACCGTAGCGGCTGACCAGTATGAAAAAATCGCGGCGATACTGTTTGGTCAGTATGGCATAGAGGAACGGATTGGCACAGGAGTTCAACGGGTAAAACGTTACCAACAGAAACTTGGATTTGGTAACGTCTATCAGCGGATAGCCGGCAATGGCTGTCAGGCCGAAAAAAGCTATCGGTGCCCAACAAACAAAATCGGTGAACACCAACAGTGCCATACGTTTGGCAATAGTCATATCGTTTAGGGTGGCTCTGGTCTGTTGGCTGACAATTGAACAGTACATCTATACAGTAGCACCGGCACCGACACCGACACCATCATCGATGATGATTAAGGACAAACCAATTGATGATAACATTCAATGATAATAATTAATATTAGATTATTTTTTTTAAATAAAAAATTTATGTCCAAAAAAAATCAAATAAAATATTTGTCAGTTGTTGGTTATGTTATGTTATATTTGTTTGCAAATATATATATATTAATATATATATATATATATATATATATATAGATTAATTGACTGACTAGACAGGGAACAGGTAGTTTTATAGGGAACTGGTAGTTAGAAAAAATAAATAGTCAACTGTATGAGTGAACTATTTATATTTATATTATAAATTTCAATTCAACTATATATTTTTATATATATATATTTCCAACATATACTGTAAGTTTAATAGTCTAAAATTTTTGTTATTGATATATTATACTATTATAATGTTTTATTTCAATTCAATGTATATACTAATTATTAATATTATCATATAATTTATTTATTTTTTTTTTTAAATTACTATTCATTGTGAGAAAAAAATAAAAACTAATTTTTAAAGATAGGAAAATTTATATCAAAAAAATTATAATAACTACTGATTACTCAGAAAATAAAATACTGTATCAAATAACTATAGGAATATTCTGTACTATTATATACATATACATTGGCCAGTCTACTAGTGTCATAACATTGATTTTGTGTGTGTCTATGTGTGTATGTGTGTGTGTGTGTGTGTGTCTATATATATATGTTTGTGTGTGTGTGTCCAATAAAATTGATTAAAACAAAAACAACAAAACGTTATGGTTTTTATTATATTAGTATATTGTATGATATATATTAAGTTGTTTGGATTTCAAGCTAACTATGCAAACATTTGATTTTTTTAAACATTAAATTGTTTGTTAAAACTTTTTTTTTAAATTAATTAATTAATGTATTGTTTTATTATTACATACCTTTGCATAACAGGCCGATATCAATACAAAGGCCAGTCCATTGATTGTAAGCAATGCCAGCAAATAGGCCACACCACCCGGATAACGGTTTTCCATTGGCAAACATATGGATGTCTTTGAATATGTGGATATACCCATGAGGGGCATGGATGCCATCAGTATGGCATACAGCCAGCCACCAATCATCACTTTCACAGCCAACCCTAGTTTCAATCGTTTATTCAATTGTATGGCAAACGTTATGGCAAACCAACGTTCCAGTGTTATAACCGTTAGGGTAAATATGGACAGTTCGCTGGCAAATACAGTTATAAATCCGGCTATCTTACAGCCCATACCTTTCAACAACAAAAAAAAATAAATAAAATATATATATATTGTATTTAATTGAAAGTGAAATTCAATTTAATTAATAATGCGATTATATTCTCTCTCTCTCTCTCTCTTACTCTCTCTTACTCTCTCTTACTCTCTCTTACTCTCTCTTACTCTCTCTCTCTCTCTCTCTCTCTCTCTCTCTCTCTCTCTCTCTCTCTCTCTCTCTCTCTCTCTCTCTCTCTCTCTCTCTCTCTCTCTCTCTCTCTCTCTGTCTGTCTCTTTATATATATATCTATATATGCTATGCTTTGTTGTTGTTGTAGTTAATGCCTATTGAAAACAATACACATGTAATCAAATAACTAGAAAACAATAATCGCCAAAAATAAAATAAAATAAATAATAGCTAACATATTGTAGTAATAAATAATAAATAATAGAAAATCAATTTATTTATTTTTTTAATTACAAAAATCTCATGATTAATGACACACTATATGTTTGTTAACGATTTTTTTTATGTTTGTTTGTTTTATTTAAACCAATCAATACCTAGAAATACAATTATAAATTACATTAACAATCGATATACGGGAGTTGTATTGTATTGTATATATGTACTGATTATTGGGTCCCAGAATATTCTGTATTATTATAGGCTATTATAATAGACTGACTACCAGTGCTCAGATGATTGAACATACGGTTATCAATAGTTTAATATAAATTTATTTGGATATAGTGTACATCAAAGAATCAAATTCAAATTAAATGATATAAAATATGGCATTATTTTACACAACACTAAAAACTTACAAATTAATAGCTGAAAAAAATATTTGTTATTTTAAAAATAAAATTAATTAATTATATTTGTTGGGTCACACTATCTATACTATAATAATAATAATAATAATAATTAACAGCAATAGCATCCCATATAATGGATAGCATTTACATTAAAAAAAACTTTTATATATATAATTATATAACATTAAACATATATACCATTCAATAGTAATTTTTTCTCTCAATAGTATTTAGTTGTAATTTTTTTTTATTACTGTATATGTGTTAAGGTCTCTATTATACATATAATACAGTATAAAATGGTATAAAAGTTTGAGAGACACATTTGGGATCAATTTTAGGCAATTATTTTTATTATTTTGCTATACAAACTTAACAACAACAACAATAGATATAAACTAATGTTTTATATATACAGAATATTCTGTATATGTATGTACTGTATATACCTTTCCTATATAGACTTTTTTTTAATACAATTACTTATTTATTTTAGTATTATTTTTTTTGGGGACAAATTAGTCAAAAACTAATAAAACAACAACAAATAAAAATTATTTGATTAGTTTTTTTTTATTCCATAGACAGTATTATAGGATCAATATATATATATTATAAATAAATGGTATTTAAATTAAATTATCAAACATTAATGTGCCAAATATTTGCGCAAAAATTGCTATTGGTTAATTTTATTATTCAACACACACACACACACACACATACATACATACACACACACACACATACATACACACACACATACATACATAAAACATACTAATAAAAGCTAACAATAATAACTATTAAGTGCAAGATATAATAATTTAATTAATTAAAAAAATAACTGTATATTATTATATATAACATATATGACAAAAATGTTGTCTTATTAATATTAATAATATTATATAATAATAACCAAAAAATTATTATTATTATTACAATACATACCGTGTTGCCAGTCGATGGCATAATTGAAATACTGGCCCACAGTATGCAAATCTACTACAGCTATGATGAACAGGTAGATGCCTTTTTTTGTTATTTGGATGGGATGGGTATATAATTTTTTTGTTGTTGGTGGGACAGGTAGATAGATATAATTTTTTAAATGTATTTTTTAATATTATTATATAATAGGATATAACTTACCCATCATTAAGTCGGCGATCGCCAGATTAATCATCAAAAATTTGCTTACATTGAAACCAAAACGACCACTAAATTAATAATAAAAAAAATTATAAAAAATAAAATAAATAAATAAAATGTATATAATATTAACTAAATTAACAAAATATTATATAAACTTTAAGCACAAAAACAAAACAAAAAAATATTAAGTATATATTTCGATATATTTTATTATTATAATAATAATAATATTATTTATCGCAACAGTTATATACTCTATATATATATATATATATTAATATAATCCAAATGTCTAAAACATAATAAACAATAAACAAAACTTTTTTCATAACTTTATTTTCATATACAGTATATATATATATAATATTATTATTAAAAAATAATAAAATAAAATATAAGTAATATATAATAAATAATATTTGTATATTATGTGCGAACATATATAAATTGTATGATTTTTTCAAATATATATATATATAAATACACAGTTATAATAAAAATAATAATAATGTATTTATGAGTTAACAACAAAAAACAAAACAAAAAAAACAAAATAAATATAATAAAAATCTTTACATAAAATCTAAATCTTATTTATATTTCAATATATATATAGTTTTTTGTATAAACATTTTGTTAATGTATTTTTGTTTTATACAACATTATTATTATTATGTGTGTCTAGAAATTAATGTCAGACAACATTAGTATACTATATATATATATATATAATCAAAATATATAACAGAAAAAATATATATATTATTTTTATATATAAATTATAAGATTAAAAAAATAGTAATTTTATTACTAGTATTAGTATTTTGTTTTTTTTTGTTTCATTCAATACATTGGCAATTGGCTCAAACAATTCATAATCATATGCTAATAGTCCAGCAGCACAGGCAGCTTAGCACACACACACACACAGGGATATGTCAATGCATTTTATGCATACATACTGTATAGAAAATAAAATAAAAAGTGTCATAAGATTAGGGCCCACTAAACAACAACAAAAAAAACAAAAATAAAATCGATATAATGTTACTAAAAAAAATAAATTATGGACTCATAATATCCAACTTAGACACTAACTAATGATTTATTAAGATTGTTATTATTTTTATTTTAGTAGTAGTAGTAGTAGAAGTTTAAGATACATACACATACACACATATACACACACATACACACACATACATACACATACAAACACATACACACACATACACATACACACACATATAGACACACACATATAGACACACACATACACACACATACACATACACACACATACACATACACATACACACACATACACACACATACACATACACATACACACACATACACACACATACACACACATACACACACATACACACACATACACACACATACACACACATACACACACATACACACACATACACACACACATACACACACATACACACACACACACACACACATACACACACATACACACACATACACACACATACACACACATACACACACATACACACACATACACACACATACACACACATACACACACATACACACACATACACACACATACACACACATACACACACATACACACACATACACACACATACACACACACACACACACACATATACACATACACACAGACATCTCTTTCCTATTTACATCCCTTTCCCCAGTAATGGGTAAAATGTTTGCGTGGTTTTAATATATAATTATGTATTTATATAATTATGATTGACATTTTAATATAATAGTTAGATGATGACAAACAATATATATATATATAGTACAGTATGTTAAATATTACAAAAAAAAACTAAACAACTAAAAAATTGCTTAAATAATAATAATATCATAAAATAAAAAATTGTCAACGACAACAACAAAAACAAAAATTTTTTAGCTAAAAGATATAAAATAATAATACTATAAAAATACATAAAGTGAAACAACAATAATAATAATAATAATAATATTTAATAAAAAAACAAATGTTACAAACAAATGTAGATTTATGTTAGATTTGTTATACATTTTTTTTATAATATTAAAAAAAATCTCTTAACTTAATAAAATACTCAAAATTTTATAATATTTATATAATATACAAAAAATATATAATATTTATATCAATATATATATAATGTATATATAATGTATATATTTTTTTTGTAAAGTTTAATATATATATAAAATTGGATCAGTTTTTATAGGAATCAAATAATACTAACAAAAATATTTTTTTAAAATAGCTTAAAATTCTAACAAAAATAATAATATATCTATTTTTTACAATATATACTTGTAATAGTATATAAATTTATAATAATATAAATATTGTATATACTATTCAATACAATACAGTAAAACACAATTGTTTATTATTATTATTATTATTGTATTGCACTTGAGTTTATAAATATATATATATATATATATATATATATATATATATATATATATATATATATAATAAATATAAAAATAAAAAAAATATTTGTTGTTTAGTACAATTGATATACTATTTATTAATATATAATATTCTATTATAAATCTTATTTATTTTTATTAATCATTATAATAACATTATAAATAATTCAATAGTGATTTTTTAATAACAATAATAATAAAAATATGTATATTTGTTGTTACTATTATTATTATTATAAATAAATTAAATAATTAATTTAAAACCTGTGTTTTTACTAGTATTATAACTATTATACCTATAAAAAAATCTCATTATTTTTATTAACTTAATTATTATTATTATTATTGATTTTAAACACTATTAATATTTTTATTGTCATAATTTGTCTTATAATTGCAACAAAAAATAATTATATATTAATATACAGTAATATTAAAATCCAAACTATAGCTTATTATTATTATCGCAGATATATATATATATATATATTAGTTATATATTAGTTAATTATACTATCAATGGACAGTACAGTTGGGACATATAGATTGTATTACTAACCTCATGAGTACAATCATAACGGCTGTATTGCCCAAAACGGCTGCAATCACTACAAGCCATACCAATATCCGGAGGAAGGCATTGCCCATAACGTCCTCACACGGGTTGAAGGCGTCGGGCATCGGAAAACACTCGACCTTATGATAGTTGACATATATTGGACCGCATAGTACTGGCTAATAGGTGTGTTGAGGAATGGGAGGTTTGGGATGGGGTAGGTATGTGTGTGTGTGTGGAAAATATATTGCGAAAAAATAGAGAGAGAGAGAGAGAGAGAGAGAGAGAGAGAGAGAAAATTATAAGTAAATTGTATTATAAATATTGCTTTTTGCAAAATAATTTAATTACTAAATAAACCTTATCTATAAAAAAACAATTGTTATTTTGTAATTAAATTGTTTTTTTTTGTTGTTGTAATTATTAATTAGTGTATTGACTATAGTCAAGTATAATATTGTGTATTATATATATATGTGTGTGAATTAATTATTTAGATATTATATAATATAATAGAGATTTAAATGGCTATAAAAAACATTTATAATGCTATTAATATATATATATATATATCAATATATTGATACTGTATATATATAAATTGCATTAAGTATTAGGTTGCTAATTAAATATTTAGTATATAATTTTTATATTATATTAAAAATTTAATTATTTATAAACCCCAGTACACAATGAAATATTAATATATATATATGATATTAAATAAATAAAGTAAAACATATTTAATTACATATAAATATATATAATATTAAATTACATTATAATTTAGTTTTGTTTGCACAAACATTGAAAATAATTTACTTATTTTTTTTGTTATACTAAAAAAATATCAATTAATAATAAATGATATTTTATTTGTATTTTTTATTATTATAAATTAAATTAAATATAAATTAGTAAAAAATTGTTAATAGCATATTGTATTAGGATATTATCAATAAAATTAATTAATTGATAAATAATTAAAAAAAAAATTATCGGTAAAAAATAGTTATTATAATAATAATTAAAATAAAAATTTCTAAATCTATTAATTAAATAAAAAAATTATACTAAAAAAATAATTTAGATATAAATAATAATAATTATCAGTACAAAAAAATTGTATTTAACTAACAAACAAACAAAAATTCAATCAATTTTTTTTCTAAAATGTTGAAAACTTATTTAAATTTTATAATTTTTCAATTCATATATTGTTTTGTTAGTTTAGTTAATAGTCTTATTATTATTATTATTGCTATTATTATTGTTGTTAATGTTATTATTATTATTATTATTATTGCTATTATTATTGTTGTTAATGTTATTATTATTATTATTATTATTATTATGTGACTATATTTTAGTTGTGTTAACGACACAAATAAATTAATCATTGACTTGGGATTTGAAGTTTCAATTTATTTATTTTTTTTGAGAGACAAACCAAACAATATATACGAAACAAAAAAAATCTTCAATTAAATTGATTTGTATTTTCTCTTTAAAAGAGTAGTTAATTGATAATCAATTTACAAATCAATTATAATAATAAATAACAACAAAAAAACAAAAAAAAATACAGTACTGTATATAAAAAACAGTATATAAACTGTTATTTTAGTTTTTGTTTAGTTGTTAAATAAAAACTTTTTTTTTGGTCGGAAAAACACTTCATTGTATTGATTAAAAAATGGGTTAAATTTAATAAAGTTATTAATAGTTATTAATTTGTGGTTTGAATTTAATCAATAACTTCAACAAAAAATTGTAAAAATATTTTTGAATTCAATTCTAACTATAATTAATAGATAATAAAATTAATTTAATTAAAAATAATTTTTTTTGTTGATTACTAACTCTAATAATAACTCTAATAATTGTTTATAAATATATATATTGTATATTATTATACTAAACTATTTTAATATTTATTATCTATATATATATATATTACTATATAATATTATTTTATTATTAATTACTACAGTATATTATTAATTAAATTATAATTATAAATAATTTTTTTTTAATTTTTTAAAAAACATACAATTGGCGGATTAGTCCTATTATTATCGGGCACTGGTACAAAATGGCCGGGCATATTATCCATGGTTACTGTTTCACCATTGAATGATGGCCTGTTATTTTGGTTGTTGTTGTTGTTACTATTGTCATCCACTTTAAATATCTCACCAAAACCTGGCCTAACTGTCGGCCCATTAGTAGTAGTGATCATCACATATGTATTACTACTACTACTAGTGCTAGTGGTTGTGGTAGTACTGGTTGATGATGGATAGGTAGGTCCGTCCTGTTGTAGTGATTGATAGTCAAACGTTGGTTGGCCGCCACTGCCGCCACCACCGCCACCAGTGGTCACATTGTAGACAATATCACCGAAAACGCTTAAATTGCGACCATCGGGACTCCATGAGCCGTGACTTTTTAGTTGACCCCATTGGCCGGGAAATGTATTGTCACCTCCGCCACCACTACCACTGGTGTCATACGGTTGCTGCTGCTGATGATGATTGTTATGGTCATCATCATCACCATCACTATCACCGCCACCAATACCACCCCCACCATGCAGTAGTAGGTCGTCCTCAGTGGCAAACAATTTGATTATTTTGTCGGCAAACATCCAGGCCTTGTGTTTTGTTGCCCGATATAAGGCAACCACTGAGTTAGGTGTTTGTGAGCTGCCGGTGCCTGTAGTCGGCGGACATATCCTACTGTGTGTGTTTGAAAATGATTTGATTAGAAAGAAAAGAGAGAGAGAGAGAGAGAGAGAGAGAGAGAGAGAGAGAAATATAAATTAATAATAAAAAGCAATGTATTTTTTGAGGAATGGGCCCAAAGTGGTGGTAAATATATATATATATATATTGTATTTATATGTGTGTCTAATATGCAACATATATATATATATATATGTATATATATATATATATATATATACTGATATAAATTATTTTTTTAATTTACATTATTTGCTATCTATTATATTATATATAGTGATATACATATAATATAATAGATAGCAAATAATATAAATTAAAAAAAAATAAATAAAATTATTTATTTAATTATTTTTGTTGCATTAATTTTCTATACAATATACATATATATATATATATATATATATATTATATGTATATGTTGTTATATATTGTTATATATTAGACACACATATAAATACACAAAAAATATATTCACACCCACTTTGCGCCCATTCCTCAAAAAATACATAATTTTTTTTATTATTAATTTATATTTCTCTCTCTCTCTCTCTCTCTCTCTCTCTCTCTCTCTCTCTCTCTCTCTCTCTCTTTCTATATATATATATATACTTTAGGAGAAACTTTATCTGGAAATTTTCTATTAATTAATTAATATTTGATTACCTATTAAACTCCCATAGGTTGGCCAGTTTGGCAAACTCTTTGGGCTTATGGGTGGCCGGAAATTTGAATGCACAACAATGGTACGGATAGGTTAGGTAGGCTTTTTTAATATGCTTGAAATTAACTATCGACGGTATCTCTTTCATTGTGAATACGTTTTGCAGTTTCAGGGTTTCCAGTGTATCCATAGCCAGTGTTGGCAATTTGCTTATGGATGTCTCCGATAGGTCACTGAGAGAAAAAAAAATTTATTTATTGATTGTGAAAAAAAACAAATTATTTTTATATTAATTTTTGTTTGTTTGTTTTTGTTTGTTTTACAATGAAAATAACTACTATATTATTTCAATGTAAATTAATTAGAAAATATATATATATATATAGTTTATATATTATTAATTAATAATAAATATGATATCTTACTACTACTATTACTGCTACTACTACTACTACTACTACTACTACTACTACTACTACTACTACTACTACTACTACTACTACTACTACTACTACTAGTACTACTAATACTACTACTACTACTACTACTACTACTACTACTTCTACTACTACTACTACTACTACTACTACTACTACTACTACTACTACTACTACTACTACTTCTACTACTAYTACTACTACTACTACTACTACCTGTATTAATGGATATTAGTAGCGCACAGGTATGTACTACATTACATACTACTGTATGTAGACAGCAATTAGTACCAGTATGTATGGGGGGAAGTAATAGTGTATATAATAATAATAATAATAACTTATTGTTATTTTCAATTAAACCCAGAATATTCTTGATATATATATATAACAACAATTTGTATGTATATAACAATGTGTTTGTTTGTTGTTATTGTTGTTGTTGTGAATACTGAATAGTGGGTTAAAATAGTTTTATTTATATAACATTATTATAATATATACTTTATATATATATATATATATATATATATATATACTGTGATCATATAAAGACATGTCATACATATTTTATTTCAAGCACCGGGAGTTTGATATAGAAAACAAAAACAATTGAATGACTGATTAAACTTCAACAATAAAAAAAAAGTTTTCTCAACAAAAATTATTTATTTATTTCAGCCAAACAAATATAAGGAAAAAAACAAATAAAAATTGGTTACAATTTATTTTTTATATAAATATATTATTGTTGATAATGTTGTCAAAAAACGTATAAATATAATATTGTAATTATATTTATAATTTACACACACACACACACAAACTAAAAAAAATAAAAATAATTTTTATTAAACATTTAAAATTTATAAACTATATCCAAAAAAAATAATATATATAATATTTAGTAATGTTTCAAAAAAATAAATATTATATTATATTATTTATATAATGCATATTATATTTGTTATTAATACTCTAATCTCATATATATAAAAAAATTATTTATATCATATAATAAACAATAAAATAACAAACAAATAAAAATTTTTATTATTACTAAATTTAGAAAATATACTATAGATTGAGTTGTCAGCTAAAAGCTACAACAAAAAAATATAAAAACTTAATAAAACATACAATTTTTAAATATAAAAGTATAAAAAAAACAAACAGAAAAAATTATATATTAAATTATATTATATATATAAAATTTTACATAAAATATTTGAATATGTAAATTATTATATACATATATTAGATACCTGTATATTTAATATTAAAATATATTTTCTAATCTAATATATTCAAGATAAATTATAATTAGTTAATTATATGTCTAAAACAAAATCAATATTGTAAAGTAAAATATTTAAAAAAAAAATAAAATAGTTAACAAAAAAATAAATACTAATAATAAAAAGCAAGCAAACAAACAAACCTAAAATTTGTCAAAATAACATTATATAAAAAAATAGTAGCAAAAGTTGCATTTAACAAAAATGTGCTGTTTTTTAAACAACAAATAAAAATAAAACAAGTCCTACTATTTGTATGTACACACACACACACACACACACACACACACACACACACACACACACACACACACACACACACACACACACACACACACACACATACATACATACATACACAAACACACACTCATGCATACATACACACATACATACATACATACACACACACATATATATTAATACACATATACACACACATACATACACACACATACACACACATACATACACACACATACATACACACACATACATACACACACATACATACACATAAAAAATCTTACAATTTATTTGTATATGTGTTTGAAAACATAGGTTTTGATCTCTCTCTCTCTCTCTCTCTCTCTCTCTCTCTCTCTCTCTCTCTCTGTTTCATCAATTTTACCCAACAATTTCATGAGAATTGAGACACAATTGGACTATAAATATATATATATATATACTATTGATATCCTAACAAATAAAACGAAATAATACTAACAAATAATACTTAAAATAAAATCTATAAAACTTATTTGTCGCTCATTTAGACACAAATCTTTATAGTGTTATATATATACAGTATTTTTTGAAGACATCTATTATTATTATTATTATTATTTTGAAGAGATTTTTTTTATTTGTTTTTGGTTTCTGTAGTTTTGATCATAAAATTAAATACTATAAGAAAAAAAATAACAGAAACAAAATCAAAATCCTATTTATTTGTTACAATGATTTACAATAATATCTGTCTATTTGTTGTATTATATATATATATATATATATATATATTGTCTCAAATAGACTCTAAAGTATTATATTTTTA